ATTACCTGTTCAGAGTCCAAAGCCACAGCACCTTTATTCTCTCTTCTTCTACCAACAGCTTGATGTTTGACCTGAACTACTTTACCATGCTGATTCAATACTTGGAATGTATCTCTATCAAGACGAATAATAACACCAACTGTCTGTGGGTCAAGCTGKACAAGATCACCAAACTGATGCTGKCCCATGGAGTCTACACCACTGCTTCTCTCGGAACAGAGCTGTAGATCTTTGGGAAACACTTTGAGTTCATGCATTGTTAGATCTGAGAATAATACAGCAGTATCTTCTACGCGTACAATAAGTCCAGTATCACCCTCATATCGACCACCAATAACCTTGACATGGTCACCCATTTTAAAATGCTTTTCAAGCTCCATTGCTGTAAATTCAAGGGGTTCCTATCATAACAAGAGATCAAAGTATCYTTCAGAAATGACAAGAATAACAAGMACTCTGTCTATTCCCTTTAGTATCAGTAAGACAGAGGTTTAAATAACATGTTGGACTAGCTGTGGTTAYAGAGCACAGGAAGCCCAGTTCATACCTTGAGATCTTCATGCGAAGGCATCATAGTGATCTTATCACCTTCAACACTCATCACTTTTCCCTGTAAATTCACTAATTCTCCATCAGCAACAATAACATTATCACCAGGGCARAATGTATGCTTATTTTCATCTGTACTCTTGCTTTTGATTGGCATCTCAAGCTCTACRTCCTCTGGRACAGCTTCAAATTTCTCTAATTCTTGTAGTGTTGGCTTGATWCCYTCTGACACTACAGCAGACATKGCTAGTGTTTTGTAGAGGWATCCACCACGATAGCGATTGTTTTCAAAAATGATAAAGTCACCATCTTGGTTTAACTCTCCACCAATCGACCTATGAAGAAATTTTATTCATCACTATCACTTCCAATACTGCTTATTTACAAATATATACATACCTTACTTCATCAGCAACAAATAATTTTTGTTATATAATAATTATCACTTCCAATACTGCTTATTTACAAATATATACATACCTTACTTCATCAGCAATAAATAATTTTTGTGGTGGTTTCCTCTTCCGCTTTCTCTTTTCCTGATCCTATAAAAGATGAGAGCATCTCCTTTCTTAACACATTGAATCAAATGACAAGAAATATCAGGTTGTTCTAACTAATTTCTTTACCTCAGCAGTGCGTGGAGTTCCCCTTGTGCGACTATAATCAATTCTTGGTATCATTTTAAGTGTAACCTAAAGTGAAAAGAGTTGAAAGTTAAACTATAATATGAATKATTATAATTTAGATGTACATAAGGGGAGTTAATTCATTCGATTAAGCATTGAAATGACCAGCTCAGACRGACAGACGAAACACAACTGCATATCTGAACAGAAGACCATTTGATTATAGTTCAAAAGTKYAAAATTTTTCAGCTGTTCTGACATCGTATACAAGTGGTCTATAGGTAGGCATATTGATAATGAGAATTGTCAGTAGTGAATTTACCTGATTTCTTGCAGTGTTGACATAATCAACCTTAAGAATCAAGACAGTAAATTAGTTCATTGGTAATAAGAAAAAAATGAATGGATAGATGGATGGAAATAAACAAATGAGATGGATTGGAGGCTACTATAGATCATAAATGGGTCAATGAAAAGATCTTTAAATGTTAATTCATCAGTTATATTAATGTACCTGTGCCAAATCATCCTTGTAAATCCCTCGTTTTAACCTAACCCACTGTTTTGCCTTTARTGCTACAACTTCCTTRACAACTTTGAGGACATCCGTCATTTCTTTGATAGGCACCATCTGTTGAGTCCATTTACCCAGACGTAGTGTACCAAATCCTTCAATAGCCTGAAGTAATCAAATAAGTACTATCACTATRTAAAGTGTTTAATATAATTGTGAAATCTATAGCTCATAAAATATTGATAAATTTTGCTTATTCACTGGTTTTCCATTGTTTAATAAACAATATATAGCAATAATAGCAGTATCATTATAACAGGGAATGTCAGATAAAAGTGATATTGTCTATACCTGTTTGACGTGGGTTTGTTTATATGCCTCTATGTAGATGTAACCTTTCAACCCCTCTACAGCAACTGCAGACTTGATTTGTAAAGGCTGGAAAGTGAAATAATGATTATAAAATACTTTAATTATTATTTAACATACATTGTACAAATATGTTGAAACTTGTGGACCTTGGTGTTTCCAAAAAGTAACAGACAAACATCACAAGTAAGTATAAAACAATTATTACCTCATCAGTGAACTGCTGTGCTATGGCCTTCCTCATTAGACCAATGACTGTAGCTTTTTCTTCTCCTATCTACATTGTAAGCAATGAATAGACACAGTAAAYTACAGATATTAACAATACAGTTAAAATGCAGTTTTCATACCTTGCACTTAATTGTCCACAAGTTTGGATCCCTAAAAGATAAATAAAGATAGTTATTGAGTGGATCAAAGACCAAAGATCACGAAAATATTCTGAGAGGAAACTGAAAATGTAMTTGTCTTTTCCTTAC